AAAGAGTGGGCAGTTGGCTGCAGGAGGCTTGTCTTCACGTTTCTCAGCTTTCCTGCAGCCTGTGTGGTGCGCCTGCCTTTCCCCCACACCTCTGCCTCTGCTGGTGCTGCCGCGCAAAGATGAGCATCCTGCGGCTGCCCACCTAGTCCAATCCGCCAACTCTCGGCTTTACCACATCCCATGTGGCATGTCTGGATCGCATAGCTCCCCCCCCAGGAGGAGTGGAGTTGGCAGGAGACAATTAGTTCATTCCTGCATTCTTGCCAATTATTGCAGCTTCTGAAAGATATCGGCCTGGCCACTCTCCAAGCCCTGATAAAGGTCGGTAATTGTGAACTATCTTGAAAGACTGTGGGAGAGGAAAGACTTTGCTGGAAAGGAATTCACTGTCAATTAAATAAAAGGGGTTTATCAGAACGAGGACTAGGCTTTGTGCTGCTGGGGAAGCCTCGGTCAGAACACTTTCCCTCCTCTTCCTCAGGTTCCCAGCCTTTGTGAAGACCTCCTGTCCTCTGTGGACCAGCCTCTGAAGATCGCTCGAGACAAAGTGGTCGGCAAGGACTACCTTCTCTGCGATTACAACCGGGATGGCGATTCCTACAGGTGAGGTTCCTTTCCCTCCACAGGAGGATCCGACTAAAATCTTCCTCTGGCTTGGGGCAAGTACAATTCGCTTAGCGACCATGGCAAGAAAAAGTCATCCACATGGTGCAAAACTCACCAAACAAATGTCTCGCTTAGCAACGTAGATCTCGGGCCCAATTGCGACTCACACCTGTTGCCAATTGATGGGTTCCCAGGGGTAGCAGCATGTAGGAGTATTACTGAGATGAGACGCTGGTGGAACATCGTCTCCTAGTAGCACAGGTCGTCCTTGACTTGTGACCAAAATCGAGCCCCACATTTCTGTCGCCAAGCAAGGCAGTTTGGTGGGCTTCAACCCCATTTTACGACCCTCCTGACCCTCTGTTGTTAAAAGGGAATCCCTGCCGTTGTTAAGCTGGCCACATGGTTGTTAAGTCAAGTTGGCTTTGCTCGTCAGAGATTCCCAAAAGGGCAAATCACACGACCCCGGGGACTGTGCGACCGTTGTAAATTTGAATCAGTTTCCCAAGCGTCCGAATTTTTGAACAGGCGGCGATGCGGCAACGGTCGTAGCTGTGAAAAAACGGTCATATAAACCTAAACCTAAGTCCCCTTTTCCCCAGTGGTGGTGTAACTTCAGTTGGAAACAAATGCTTGCTAAGTTTGGGGACTCCCTGTGCTGTATTCTCATACCCTGTTTCCCCGAAAATAAGACCTCCCCGGATAATAAGCCCAATCGGGCTTTTGAGCGCATGTGCTAAAGTAAGCCCTCCCTGAATATATTGCAACACAGCAGCAGCCATGAAGGTGACCCCTCTCACCGCATTCTGCAGCTCAAAAATAATAAGACCTCCCCGAAAACAAGACCAAGCGCTTATTTTGGGGGTCAAAGAAAAACAAGACTCTGTCTTATTTTCGGGGAAACACGGTATCCAAGAAGTTGGCAAACTCTCCACTGCACTTCGTGCCAGGCAGGCCTTGTTCTCCTTCGTACCCCCTATTGTGGGAAACTCATCTGGGGAATGTCAAGCAGCCTCAGCCTCCAGAGGAGAGCGGCCAGCCTCATGGATACCACCTCCTTGCTTTTCATCGCCTTCCTGGAACTCTTCTTTTGTGTGCGTGTGTTTGTGTGTCTTCCAAGACGCTGCTTGCTAAGACTTGACTGGGACAGAAACTAAAGGAGAGGCCAAGGACCACCTCCAGGTCCTCTCATCCCGTGAGTGTGAGTGTGTGTGTGCGCAGTCCCATCTGCCTTTCCTCACAACGCCTCCCTAAAATGTGTCTTCAGCACTTGCTTGCTATAAAAGCCCTTCTTTTGGAAGCGGGTGGTGTAACGCAATGGGTTTCTAATGGATAAAGTTACTGCCTCTGCCAGCGTTTTTCTCCTTCTCATCCTTTTTATGAGAAGTGAGTTAGAACATGTGTGTGCCTGTGTGTGCGTGTTCTGCAGGCCACAACACACACACACACACACACACACACACACACACACACACAACTTTTTGCTACCTGCACCTCTCTACCTTGTCAAAGGAGGTGGGAGGGCGGTGGACCCAAGCCCCCTGTCGCTGCTCTCCTTGTGTCCAGATCAGAAGTGGGATTCGGCCGGTTCTCTCCGGTGTGGGAGAAGCAGTAGCGGCAGCTGCCGGGAGTTTCCATCCGACCACCCCGACATAACGTGTGAGCGCTGCACATTTGCGAACCGGTAGGGAAGGCAAGGGAATCCCACCTCTGGTCCAGAGAGACAAATGGGCATTGTTAACGCTAAAAGAATGAACTCCCTGCCCTCTAAGAAGTGCTTCAAGAAAGAAAAGCAAATTATTTGGCACAAAACCCTTTGAAAATACGGGATTTTAACCCCGCCTCCGCTGTGAGATGCACCCGATAACAGCCGAAACCATGAAAAAGCCCAAACGTACTGCATCTAATTAAAAGCAGGAACATCTACAGAGCTGGAAACTTAGTTGAAAATAAAATAAAAATTAAAAATCCAGGGACAACTAAGCCGCTGAGCCCCAGTGGGGCCATCAAACCTTGGAGGGTGCTCCCAATGCTGACAGCATAGGAAAGGGGATTTCGTGGTGGTGTTTTTTTTTTTAATACTTGCCCTTCATCCCTTCCCCCTGTCCCATCTCTAAATTTAGCGGAAGACACGTCAGAGGAGGGTCGGGCCAAAACATTCTGGGGTGGAAGCCCCGTTTTCTCCGCTGCAGGCCTCCCCCCTCCTCCCCCCTTATCGTCGGTTAGGTTGTTTTGATGCTTTCCTTCCCAGCCCCCTCCTCTTGCACTTGTAGGCTGGATCCTAGACCCCCTACCCTAATTAATCTGTACCTTGTCTGTCGCAACTGCAGCGTCAGGTGGGTGGGTGGGGAAGGGACTCTTTTGACGTGGGATGAAAATCATAAGGTTTACCTCATCAGATACCGGGTTCATATTAACCATCTGGACGTGTGTAGAAGCTAAAAAATACTGGACTAAAATCCACCCATGGTTGGAAAAAGTGATAGAAAAAACATATAGACTTCAAACCAGAGATATTTTTATTGGGCATTTTACCGGAAACATACAGTAGAGAATTAAAATATTTGATTGTAAACGTGTTAACAGTGGCAAGCATTATATTTGCTAAAAATTGGAAAAATGAGAAAATACCAACGCAGGAGGAAGTTATTCAGAAAATAATGNAGGGGCGAGTAGAAGCCGGCAAGGCGCCCCTCGACATGAGGAACATCAAGTTGGCCACACCCACCTAGTCACATGACCACCTAGCCACACCCACCCAGCCGGTCATTAAGCAGATACTATTAGTGGTCCGCGAGATTTAAAATTATGAATTTATGGTCCCTGAGGTCCAAAAGGTTGGTGACCCCTGTTTTATATTAACCTGAAAACCTCTGGTTGCCTTATCAGATCTAACGCTTAAATCCACCATCCTGTCTCCTTTTAGACATTTGGTATTTTTCTAACCCATTCCTTGGTTATTTCCAAGAGCTAATTGCCAATGATCATGGGACCATAACCAGTTTCTGAAGTTTTTAAATGTAAACCAGAGATATCACTGAATTTGCTGTCTCTATAGAGAGTGTATAGTTGGGTCGGTGTGTGAATTCAGAATCCAACTTGTATTCTTACCGGCCATGTCTTGGTCTTGCAACCAACTTATAGCCACCTCAGTTGTGTTTCAGTAGGGAAATTATGTCATGCTCTGCATCAGACCAGAATATTATAGGAAAGCAATAGTGTTAAGTGCATGAGTCAGCAATGTATTTTTGATATTTTTTTTCACCCCCTGGCATCATTAATTAGCAGGATGGAGCTTGAATGTTCTCCTTGGAGAACCTTAAAATCTGGGAAGATAGGAGGAAGAGAAAGGACAAAGCCAACTATTTCAGCTGTTGTCTTCTCTACCTTTGATGGTCTCCATCATTTCACATTTCCAGGTGGATTTGGAGCGGGGGAGGTAAGGGTGAGAAGTTACCACCTGCTGTCTACAAGATTAAATCACATTTCTGCCCCCAGTGTGAAGATTTATGACCTTACTTCAGATCAAGGAATCATGAGGTGGTCTTGGAGGGACCTCTGTAAGGTCTACATGGTGGGCTTTTTGTAGAACAGGGGTCTTCAAACCTGGCAACTTTAAGACTTATGGACTTCAACTCCCAGAATTCTGGGAGTTTGGGGACCCTGTTGTAGAAGATGCAAAAAGTGGGACCTCTTTTCAGTCTTCCTGGGGATGCAACTGAAGTGGTGATCCGTCTTCATTCCCAATTTTTTCTCCTCTGTTCCTTGATATATGGAAGGAATGTTCCAATATTTAAGGGGCTTCCACAAAGGATCAACCTATTCTCCCATGCGCCTGAAGGCAGGAGGAGAACCAACAGGTGGAAATTAATCAAGGAGAGAAGCAACCTAGAACTAAGGAGAAGTTTCTTGACAGAACAATTAATCAGTTGAACGATTTGCCTTCGGAAGTCATCACTGAAGGTTTTTAAGAAGATATTGGACGACCATTTGTCTGGAATGGTAAAGACTCTTGAGCAGGGAGTTGGACTGGAAGACCTCCAAAGACCCTTCCTCCCTTGTGTTATTCTGTTATATCTGTTCGGAACAAAGAGTGACTTCTGAAAAGGAGCTAGCATTGGTGTGCAAAGAGACTGTGTGTCCTTTTTTCTGTGTTCCTGAATATTCCTCTCCATATAGGCTGCCAACTAGATTTGCCAATTAAATAGCTGTTTAGAAATCTTTGGAGCCACTAATCAAATCTGCCAAAATCCTTAATGAGGACTTTTTATTTCCCTTTTCCATTTTTTAAAAGCACACTTAAAGGTTCATTAAAGATCCACAGAGGGATACAGAAAGAACCACGCAGACTTCTTCTAAGTCAGTGAAGGGTTGCTGGCTTGCTTTGGCCTTCCTGGTTGATAAATGTCCAGGTTCTATTTTTGCTCTTCCAAGTTAGAAGCGTGTCCACCCTGGCCATCTTCCCTTGACCAGCTGTGGTTGATGTCTTTCCCCCTCAGTTATTCCCACTTCTGGATAAACTTACATTTTTGAACTTCAGAGGAAGAGACAAGAGATAGGTCGAAGGAGCGCGGCGGAGAGGCGAGGAGTGGCTGGGAGGGGAGGGGCGAGTAAAAGCTGCCAAGCTGTCCCTCTATGTGAGTGACATTGGCCATGCCCACCCATTCACATGACCGCCTAGCCACACTAGGTGCCTAAGCCAAATCTGATCCCTCAAATGAAAGGACAAAAACTTTCTTCATCAATTTAAGACAGCAAGCTTCTTTGCTTCTTTTCTGCTCAAAATCTATTCTGGACTCCTAGTGTCTTTCAAAAGCTCCTGTAGCTCTATCTCTAGGTGTGTCTTGATTGAGTTTGGAACCCAAACTCAAAAGCCATTCCACTGATTACCGTATTATATTACCGAATATAAGATGCACTGGAGTATAAGACACACCAAGGTTTTGAAGAGGCAATTTAAAAAAAAAAAGGTTTTGCACTCTGCAAACCTCCCAAAAACGCCCTGTTTTTTGCGAAAATGGGCCCGTTTTTTTTTCCAGAAAAAGGGCATGAATAGCCTTTAGGAGGCTTGTAGGGTGCTCCTGCCCCCCTCCCCCAAACAAGCAAAAAACGGCCCATTTTTTGTCAAAAAAGGGCATTGATAGCGTTTATAAAGCTTATAAAGTGCTGCTGGGGGGGGGGGAAATTCATTTCTGCCCTCTCCAGCCTCCAGGAGCTTTCTGAAAACCTCCTACAAGCTATGCATGGCCATTTTGGAGCGGGCTTTCAGGAGGCAAAAATATGCTGTGTTCAGTGTATAAGACGCACCCAGATTTTCAGCCTCTTTTTTGAGGGAAAAAGAAACGTCTTATACTCCAAAAAGTACGGTAATTGTTCTCGCTGTAAGGAGGAATTTCCTGACCATGAGAACAATTAATCAGTAGAACAGCTTACCTCCAGAAATTGTGGCTGCTTCATCACTGGAGGTTTGCAAGAAGAGATTGGACAGCCATTTGTCCAGAATGGTATAGGGTCACCTGTTTGAACAGGAGTTTGGACTAGAAGACCTTCAAGGTTCCTTCCATCTCGGTCATTCTGCTATTCTGAAAGACATTGAATTGCATCCACTTCTAGTGTAGCATGTTCCCCTGCGGTTGGTTTTTTTTTTTAACAGCTCCTAAGAGCTTGTTTCTATTGGCTGAAAGCTAATTCGTGGATTCAAACCCTGGGAATAAAACATGCCCTGGCTGACTACAAAACCCACGAGGGTGTCGGCGTGGAGCCCAAGGCGCCAAGAGAGCAGCCAGCATCTTTTAGAAGTACCAATCCGTGATGCGACAGGGATGTAAAACCATCCCATTTACAGTTCTCGCGGTGCAGTACCAGTGCAAAAATAGGAATTTAAAAAGCATGGAAGTCGGGGGGCCCGCCATGATGGCCCCCTCCTCAGGATTTTAACTAAGCGAATCAATTGGTTGCGTTTAAGAACCGGCAGTCACACATGAGCAAAATTAGAATAGTCAAGCAGATTGCAAATCACTGCTCAGGGACGGGAGCGAGCCGCAAATGGGATTCCGTCTTCCTGCCTGCGGCACCAGTTGGGTCCTTCCATTGTAACTCAGGCGCCTGGACTGCAAGTTATCTGCATGCAGCGTTTTTTGTCAGCAAATCTTGGCCTGAAATAAAAGCACGCGGCTCAGCCAAGAATAACGGCTCCCCGGCATTTTTGTAGAAAGAGAGAAGGCGAACGTGTGGGTCGTGAAATTTGTTTCCGCCTGTGTTTTTACCTAGAACCTTCTCTTCGGGTCTTACCCGTTTACAGCCGCCGCAAGCAAATAAACTTTGCAACTTAAGATGTTTGCAAAAAAAAAAAAAAAAGGATAAACTCAAGTTAGGGAACGAAGGCTGTTTGGAAAACGTCTGGGGTTCTTTTATCATCCCAATTGCTGGATTTGCAAATATATTCTCTCTTTTCAGGTTTTTCTTTTAAAAAAATCAATGCTTTAAAAGCGTGACCTGACAAATGTGCACACGACAAAAGCGTGCCAACGAAACCGCGGTGCGAAAACCGTGATGTCATCAACGCGCCCACAATAGCGTGATTTAAGTTAAGGTAAGGGTTAGGTTTAGGGTTAGGTTTACAGTTAGGATTAGGTTCAGGGTTAGGTTTAGGGTTAAGTTTAGGGTTAGGTTTAGGGTTAGGTTTAGAGTGCGCTTCTGTCAGCGCGCTGTTGTCAGCGCGCTTCTGCGCTCATTCGTCGGTGCGGTTTAGACCTCATGGTTTTCGGTGANTTTTTTCTTTTCCCACTGGTGTGGGCATGTATTGTTTAAGATTATTATTTTTATTAATATTTTTAAATAATAATTACAGTCAAATGAAAATGGAAGTACAAACACTTCACCTTCTGAGACTTCCGGGCATTGGAATAGGGAATGCCATGCCCACCAAGCCATGCCCACAAAGCCACACCATGCCCAAAAGCTATGCCATGCCCAACAAGCCATGTCCACAGAAGCGGTAGGGAAAAAATGAATTTCACCACAGAAGAAATGCAAAGTTCTGGGCACCTCCCACATGTATTCCTGCTTTTAGAAAAACATCAAAAGAGTTTCCTTTTGCCACCTCATATCAAGCATCATCTAAAAAGAGTTTTTCAAAATACGTTCCTCAAGAACTGAATGGATATAACTTTTTTACAAAATGCACTCAAATGCTGTTTTGTACACTTTGGTCCCATCTTCTGTAGAGTCATTCTGTCCTGGCACTCCTTCCTTCTCGTTTCCCAAAACAAGACCTTATGGAAGGCTGATTGTTAAGCACAGCTGGCACTTAGTTTCATTTATTGCAGCTTTTCTATCTCTGTCAAGAGCTTTGCCTCTTGATTCGGGCTGGGGAAAAAATCAATTAATGAAACTGTTGATCAATGGGGACCAACTTTTGCTACCATCTGCATATCTTTCATCTCATTTTTTCTTAGTGTGTTTTATTGTGAAGCGCCCAGAGAGGTTTGGCTATTGGGCAGCTTAGAAAATCTCATGAATAGATCCATAGCTACAAAAATATGTACAAACCTCCTTCTAAGCTGGAACGCAGCATAAGGTCAGGGCGAGCTCCGAGTTCGTTTATCAAGAGTTTCCAAGCTTCTGAACAGAAACCATGGCCTTTGCAGCCCTTGTGGTTGCACTTGATCCTGGGAGTTACTCCAGCCATTGGGCGATCTGCAAAAAAGACAACTCTGCATTCAGCCCCACAACCCCTGGTCCTCTCACACTTGGACCACTGCAATGCACTCTACATTTGAAGACTGTCCATAAGCTTCAGCTGGTACAAAACACAGGCAGCTCTTGGGCAGCTCTTGGGGCCCCTAAGTAGAGGTGGGTTCCTACCGGTTCAGTCCGGTTCTGCTGAATAGGTAGTAAAAATCTGGCATACTTTTCCCAACTGGTAGTATTTGCAGCCTGGTCACACCCCTGAACCAGTTCCCCAGTCACCACTCGCTTGCCCCACCCTGCCCAGTCTCTGCTCTGCAGCTTGGCTGCT